TTTGAGAATGGCACCGGTTGGAGCTGGAACTTTTAAAAGTTACAAGGAAGTCCACAATATTCGGACCGAAAACGGTCTAGATATAGTTTGAGAATTTCACCGGTTGGAGCTGGAACTTTTAAAAGTTACAAGCAAGTCCATAATATTCGGACCGAAAACGGTCTGGATATAGTTTGAGAATTTCACCGGTTGGAGCTGAAACTTTTAAAAGTTACAAGCAAGTCCACAATATTCAGACCGAAAACGGTCTGGATATAGTTGCAAGTTTTAAAAGTTTCTACTGGGTCCTCTATATTCGGATCGATCCCGGTCCATATATATTTGCTATGCCTCTTTCCCCCACATTTTCAGACCGTTTTCGGTTCGAACATATTTTATTATTTTATTATATTATTTTTTTGGGACCAATTTCGATCCGCTTATTTCAATATTTAAATAACCATTGATATTTCATACTGAAATATATGGACCGAAATAAATATATGGACCGATTTCATGTCGATCTGTATATTATATTTTTTCGTACCAGGTTTTTTCAGATCAACTATAGGGACCAAGATCGGTCTGGATTTATATATTCAGACCAATTTGCAATATATCCGGACCGATATTTCGGTCTGAATATCCGATTCCTGCAGTAGTGTCCCTCTCAAATTTTCTTCATTCACTTTAAATCAAACATTCAATTCAATGAGAAATTAAGGAGGTTTAACCTTTGATGTATTAGCTATTAGGCTTGTAAAACAGAGATTAAGGAGGCTTGTGAGTATCTTTGTGCAGGTGGAACCTGCAAAGGAGAAAGATGAAGGCAAGCAAATGGCAGAAAAAGGAGGAGGAAGGAACGTTACGTTGAGTGTTTTGTGGCCCACAACATAGCTACATGTCAGCTTATAATTGGTTTGGGAAATATCCTACATGGTATCACTGTGATATAGTAGACTTTCTCATGAAGAAGGATGTGGGTGGGCAATGTGGCAAATCATGGTGGCGAGTTTCCACAAGAGAGTGCTAGGCCGAAAAGGCTGAGTTTAAAAGCGGGGTTTGAACTGGGTTCGCTATGGGGTTTATGGGTTAGGACAACAGCTCAAGAATCGCCGAGCTTTGACCTTTGGGTCAAACATAGATAGGTT